ATGACGGCAGAAATGGCGAGCGAGGTGCGATGACGTATCACAGGATGCTGCAGAGCAAATCCCTGCGAGTCAACGAAGCTCCCTAGCACTTCCATGGGATAATTTGTCACTTATGGAGTCACGTGGGGAAAAGAGGCATGTAGCAGGTGAATATTTCATCAACTACTGCCTGGCAGTGCATTTTCTGTGCATGTTAAGCAGTGGCACACCGGCTCCTTACCGTGCCCACAGCCTGGCCTGGGTGCACAGTCCCAGCCTGTGCATGTTGGGAGAAAGGTGCACGTTGAGAAACACTTTAGCATCTTCCACTGCTGTCTTTTATTTGTCACACATAAATAATGAAGGCATCTCCAGGAGTGGGAGGGGGGGAAGCTTATACACTGAGAACGGTGAACTTGTGCTCTCTTCATCCCTTCATCCAAACAACTGCCTTTGGCGTGAATAACGGCACAGCTGATACGAAGCTCTGTATTGATCCGTTGCTCAGGAAGGTCCACTGGTAGTTCCTTGGACTTTTCCTGAAGGTATGGCTGTAACAGGTTGGTACTGTCGGGATCTGTTGCTTCTGTCTCCATCTCACACCAGACAAGTTCAGCAGGGACAGACACAGAGAGGGGGAGCTCCCAGCCCTCGCTCTGTGCAGCTCTCTGTCTCCCACTGGCATACAGACGTGATTACCTCTCCTGGTTGGAAAACCTGCTTGGGAAACTATTGTGCACAAGCACAGGTAAAATGGTGTCTGCAGTTGGAGAGGCATCCCTGTATTTGGGAACAGTCTGCTTTTTCCCAGACAGCAATAATTTGGTAAAAATTCTGGATAACCTACAAATGTTGCTTATTCTGTGGGAGAGGCTAAGTGTGAGGAGTTGTGTCACCCACGGCTGGTATCTCTCCACCACCCAGGCACTGTGGTGTTTTAGGGAACTGCTGCAAATTTGTCCTGCAGTTATGGAAATGCAGCCTGGGTGTTCTCTCAGTGTTTTGGCTTTATCACAAGAAGATATACCAGGTGGTGATGGTGGCATAAGCGATGAAGGATGTGGACTCTGCAATGTCAGGTTTCTCACGAGGCCAGTGCCTGTTCATTGATGGGATGTTCAGGAGCATGCAGAGTGAAGGCATTAGCCATGTGTCTGTCCTGCCAGAAAGCAGTGTTGGGAAGTGGAAGTTTTACACGTTTTTGAGGGCCTTAAGTGGTTCTGAGCCATTAAACTCTGTACAGGAAAGGGGCTGTCCCTGCTGTCCTGTGGCCAGAGAGGTCTGGAGCAGGCTGCCAAGCCTGCATTGCCAGCGTTATGGTGCGTGCATCCTGCTGACTTCCATGTTGTGACTGCTCTCCTGGACCAAACCCAAAGAAAACCTTCTACTGCTGCTTCTTTGTTCAGTTGTTCTCTCTGCTCAGACCCATGACCTTGTCCGGTCAGCACTGTCCCCAATGAACATTACTGCTACTTCTGTGGATTTAATGAACTTTCCAGCTCTCTTCTGTAGCTAGCTAAGTAACACTGCTTGTTGCCTGAGCTGCATGTCCTGCCTGCATGTATTTGTACATACTCCTTTTGTTGATACTGCTTGCAGGAGTTGCAGCCAGGCATGCCTTCCTTGGAAGCAAAAAAATACCCTGTGAATTTACCACACCACTAGAAAACTTGCTTTTAAATAAAAAACAATGTTTAATCTTCTCTTCTTAGAAGAAACAAACTTATGTATTTGCTCTGTCTCATTTGATGAATTTGTCTTCCTGTCCCCTGCCAAGTTGGAGCCTTTGACCAAACTCAGCCAAAGTAATAGGAGAGCAGAGCTCTCAAAAATTGCTTTTGGTTTCAGGAAAATCAGCAACTAAGAGGAGAGATGTCCCACTGGCATCCTCACCAAGAGAGGCTGCAGCGTGACATCCACCCAAATTGGACACTACCTGGGAGGAAGAAATTATAAATGCCTCTCTCCCCAGGAAAAGCTCACATCCCATTTAGATACAAGAGAATCCAACCCTGAGGAAACAAGGCCTCATTAGTGTCATTGCTGGAGGAACTACTTAATTAAAGGACAACAGAGTTGAGAGCATTGTTATGTAGGTCTTTGTTCCTTACACCTGGTCATTTCCATTGATGTAAAATGTCATCTTTCTGATCTGGTAGCATTTTGCACCCACTTTAGACAAGTCTTCCTGGCCAGCGAGGAGGTGCAGAGCAGGGAAGAATCAGACCTTATTACCGAGGTAATTATAGCCTCACCTACCCATCAGGGGAAGGGTGTACACCTCTATTAGCCAGGGCTTCCACAAAGAGAACAAAGGCTGGCTGGAAAGTGGGAGCCACCCAGGGAGCATCCCTGTGTCCAGCTACAGCACTCTGGGGCAGCAGACCTGCTGGGGAGGTCATGACCACAGGCTCCCTCCTTGCCTGTCTCCTGCCTGCTTTCCTGGCGTTAAATCCAACTTGCCTCAGCAGTACTGGTGAAGGCCATGAGATGGGGAGACTAAAACAGGGAACAGTACCTTCACCGAGGAAATCAGCTCAGTTAAAATGCTAAAGGACGTAGGGGGTGGCTTTCAAAGCTTGTCTCAGCAACTAGCCTAATTCTGTTTTCAAAAGCCACTGTTGAGTGCTTTTGAAAATTTCATCCTAGATGCTTGGCTCAAAGACCTTACCCAAAGATTTTTTTTTCGCTGCTATACGAAAGCTAAATATAAACCAACGTTATTGAACAAAAGCCTAACATAACCCCTGTTGCAGGTTTAGAAAAATCTTTACTCAGAAAATCAAACTATTGGAGAGCAGTATCTGAAGTGTCCTTCAGTCTTGGATGCCTCTTGTTTTGTGTAAACAGTTTGGCATACAAAAAAAATACATTTCTAACAGAAAACATTTGCTTTCTGTTATTTTTGACTTTTCCTATTTGCCTTTTGCTCTCCTGCCCTCAGAAAATGAGGACCTGAGTGTCTCCAGATGAGCAGCTGAAGTTGCTTTCGAACACGTGGATCAGTCTATTTTACCCATACAAGTAGGTGCATATGTGTGTCTGCTGTTTGAACAGCATCTTAATGACTTTTCTGCTGATTGCCTCTGGACCACAGGCAAGTAATAAAGCTGGCCTGTGCCTCAGTTTACCCACCACATTTTCATTAATGCTAACCTACCTCATGAGGTGGTGTAATGTTTAATATATAATGTGCTCTGTAATCCCTGGATTAAATGTATTATGTAAGTGAAAAGCACCCATTTGATGTGTATGTAAATGCTGCAGTATTATAGGTAGGAGGGTCATTTGGGTGTAAGTGTAATACAAGCGCTGGCAAAAGGCAAAAGGGATTCCATTGTATTGACTTATTTTTAAAGAGCTTTTTATTTACTGAAATGCTCTGGACACCCAGAAAGAGAGACATTCCTCACTAAGCAGCTCTGCTTTTTCATCTGTCTTGGAGTGCTTTGATAAATGGATTGAAACTTGTCAGCTTTTCCTGTAGTTTCTGAGACTCCCTCTGGAAACTGTGTTGAAATGTTATTATTGTAACTTCTTAGAGCACTACTTAATGAATTGTAACAGATATCCCTGCGAGTCCCGCGGATGCTGTGAGGACTGCATTTCCTCTCCTTCCCGCCGCAAGAGCAAACCAGTGCCACACAAACACATGGCACAGAGCGCACGTCCCCAGCCACCAAAAGCAGCTGGTCTGTCACAGGGACAGCTCTTCTCACCTTCACAAGGCTTCAGCCCCAGCTGTGTCCTGGCTGCGTGGTCAGCAGGGCTCCAGGGATAGAGGACATAGACAGATATCACTTGAGTTAAAGATTAATTTCATCTTTTAAGAACCTTAAGCTTTTAATTCATCTAATGAATTAGTGTGGGGTTAGATCAGTGCTGGTTATTTCTTCTGTCTCTAGGATGAGATGTTTTGGCTTTCACACGGTGCCTGAGCTGTCCTGCAGCTTGGACTGGTGACTTGGGTGCTGTTGGACAGTCTGAACTCACACCACCCACAGGTGTCAGCTGCCCTCAGAGCAGACAGTGGTTATGTGATGTTACCACTTGGGCACACGAGATGGATAGAGCAGGGTGCAGCACCTCCTCTGACCCAGTAGACCTGCTTGAGGAAATCTGCAGAGAGGGTGGTCAGAGGTGCCTGACAGGGACATGTCTACAGTGTGGAACTAGAGGGTAGAAAGAAGTCAACCCAAGAAAGACCCCGATAATATCCCACCAACCCCAGTTGTGTCCCACAGTGGAGCAATGAGGTGTCATGGTGATCTCTTATTTCCCACCTTCTCCCTATTCAAAGGAATCTTGTTCCTCCTCTGCTCTCTCTGGAGGGGTGGTGTGACCCCTGATACTTGGGGTTTGGCAGTTTGGTTGTGCTGGTTAGGCTTGAAGATCCTTGTCCTGCTGCAAGGGTCACTTGAGAGTTTAGAATGTTTTTAATGTTTTTATTTTTTTTCTTTTAAACCTTCTCACTTGGTTTCAGCTGTTCTTGTTTTTCATAAGAATACAAAACTGAGCTGTTGATACTCAGGCTGTCATGAGGTGTGAGATGGCCAAACACACAGCCTCACAGAATCACAGCTCTGCCCCTTGCCCTGCATGGTTTGCCCACAGTAGACAGTGCTGCCCATCTCCATCTTCATTTCCTCCTGAAAAATAAGTGTGTGCCTTCCCCTTGCCTCCAAATATGAACATGGGTCATCCTGAGTGAGGTCTTCAGGAAGAGAGGAGGGAAATTTTGAAGGAGGTCGTGGCCCATGTGGTGTAGGATCAGAATTATGAGGTCACTGGCTATAGGTCACCCCTCCCCAGCAAGGCCTCAGAGGTGCCTCCATTGCCCTCAGCACTTTGAGGCCATCTTTGATTGTTCTCAGACTTTTATTTCGCTTTTTATTAACACTTTACATATTAAAATTTGTGTAGGCAGCCAGAAGAGAGCAGCATCTACACAATACTTGATGCAATGGAGAGGATTAGGAATCAGTGGCTCAGTTCTTTGGGACCTGAGCTGGGGTGCTGTGGGGGTGGCAAAGTGTCCTTTCATT